ATTATTTATAAGACTTTAAAGTGGTTTGCCTATGCTATTAAAACTATTTAGCTAATTTTTTGTGGAGAAATTTGTTTAATGAGATATAAAATAGAAAAAATAAAGATAATGAAGAAAAAAAATGCAATAGAATTGTTTATACTTATGTAATTTATATTTGGTGTGAATAATTATTAGTTGATATTAGCATTAACTATTATATAATATGATAAAAAAATATATGATTACACTTATAGAGTTATTAATGTGAAATGTAAAAAAAATGCTAATGACAACTTTTGTAACCGAAATTGGAGGAAAACTAAAATATTTTATTAAATGTTTTGCTAGCAATTATATATATATATATATATATATATATATATAGATTTAAAAATTCCAGCTACCTATTAATGGTGCATTTTTTCATTTGTATTTTATTTTTCTTATAAACAACGAACAACATTAAAATCTCAGTATCTATATTTATTGATAAGAAACTCTTACCTCGAACCGGTTGGGTTATTTGAGATCTCGTCCCGCACACCGGTTGGTTGCTTTGGATACCTGCAAAAAAGCCTAGACTGGAGAGAATGATTCTCCAACTTGGCCCTCCGATGCTTAAGTCAGTCTCTTTTCCAAAAGCGTTCTTTTAGAATCTTATTAGAAATTTTCTCTTACCCCTTTGAAGACCTTACTCCTTCTATATATATGACAGACGTGCCTTAACCGCCTGAGCCACGTCTCTGACATGCTAGGGACAATTATACGCCACTCCTTGACCTAATGCAACTTCCTATTATGCCCCTGCAGTGCTCCTTCTACCAGGTCTGGGGCTAGCTCTATCTTCCTGGTCGATCTATCCGCCTGTTCGAACTATCCACCTGGTCGATCTAATGTATGGACTCGAGAGCTAGGAATACTATATCCCACATCATTTATAAAATCTCAATTCAAAAGGTAATAAAATTTGGGAATATTGGTCTTTATATTTGTGCCTTTCAAAAAATGAAGGATATTCTTTAAATATCATTTTCCACTAATCATCACAATTTATTTATCTGGAACGTGTGATAATAAATTTGGTAATTTTTATCAATCCTTTGTTTACCAATCTATTATTTTTTCTAAACTCGGTTTCAAAGGGTAAAATAATTTTCAAATGCTTAGTTGTTGTGCATTTGAAAAAAAAAATATTTAATGATAATATATTATTTGTTAATAATACACAATTTTGAAAACTCCATTATAAATTGTATGCTGATATCTAAATTATTTTATAAATGCAACCGACTTTGTTAAATGTCCACGAAAATATGGTAAAATAAAATGATACGATCAACTTTGTATTGAAATAAAATAAAATCAGTAAATCAATATGAAGTTCACATTAAATGAACGTAATTAGTAATTTGAATAGTACACGAATCCAAAATTAATAATCATGTAGATTCTAAAATTCAAACTTATACTTATCATCATCTTTTGGAAATTGAATAATAATTGTAGGCAAGATTTTCTAAATAGTTTTAGACAAGTTTTTTTTTTACAAAATAGTTTAGAAAAAATTTAGGTGGTTTAACATCTTTCAATAATGATACATAAAATTTTATATACTCTACATACGTTATATAATATTTTAGGTGTATTTAATAATTTAAACATATATTTTTTATGTTATTTTATACAAGATAATTTTATATTATTTACAACTGATATACGATAAATTATGTCACATATTAACTCTACATCTTAACTTATAATTATTAGCTAATATTATTTACCTTCATATTTAATTTATAATATTAATTAATATTGTTTACCACTATCTTTAATTTATGATTATTATTTGATATTGTTTACCCGTGAATCGCACGAACTACGCATTTATACAAATATATAGAAGCTTCAATTTATGTTGATTATGATACGTGTAATTGTACGAACTATACAAACAGAAAACTAGTCCACATTGGAAATACATGAATTGAAATATTCACGTGGTAGGTAAAGAATTAGAACTCGTGTGTAGTCAAACAAATCTAGCTAAACACAACATAATTTCAATATGAATGTATGTGTCGTGCTGATATATCCACACCCGATGACTTTTTGATTTTTTTTTATATTCATTATATAATATAATAATAATTCGTTGCATTTTTTTTTTTTTTTCCTTCTTGTTCCGTGTTAGCTTTATTTTGCAACGGAAGGAAGCTTCCAATTCACGGTATTAAAAGATTGGGAAATGTTAAGGTCCCGTTATGGAATTATTATGTCGGGTTTTGTAACCGTTCGAAATAATTGATCTAACGGTTGCAAATCTCGACGGAATAATTCCGTAACGGATCGTAGCATCTTCTTAAAAGATTATCCATCCTTCTAGATTTTGAGGTTGATATTTTCATTAAATATTAGTATTTAGTTTGAATCTATAATCTTTTCCCTAGAAAGTTAATCAAGCCGAACTTTATTATTAGCAAAATATACGAAATCATACCCCCTTTGAAATTGTTGTAAACTTTATTGATGTGTATTGTCGCATTTACAAAGTTTTACTGTGAAACTTCGCATTTACAAAGTTTTACTGCGAAATGTTATTTTATCCATGATACCTTCAGAATTTGTTCGATTTTGCCTTTGTTTCTCTTCTTTATTTGTTCGATTTCGTTTTTCTTATGAAATACACACGAAGGGACATAATAATAAGACGAGAAATGCCTTTTTCCTTTTTTTAATTGATATTGAAATTCAATGTTGAATAAGGTTAAGTGAATTTATTTTCATTAGATAGTTACACAAAATTAGAGCCTTTTTTCTGTTTTTTTTTTTTTTTCATCCTAGAAAATTTGGAGCTTACAACATCTTTGACCCGAATTTCATCAAGCTGGGTATTGGGTATCCAGCACCGATCATTAGGTCCAAGATGTGGCCCAATAAGGGATTTGACGAAGTGAAAAAGGGCCCCGGTGGCATTACCATGGGCTTTAGTTTCGAGAATCGAGATGCAAGAGAATCTTGCAGATGAAGAACATATCACAAGTCTCCTGCTAAAAAATCATCTGATATGCATAAATTGTCTCAGCTTGGGACACTAACTTCCACCAGTCTCGCTAGATTTGAATGTTTGTGTCTGTACTATGAACTTAAGAGTTGGTTCTTGCTATGACCAGCATTTGTTTCAGACTATTTTTCAGGGCAGTTCTTCGATCAGACAATGGCCAATTTTTCTAATCAAAATCTTGGGTTTCATCCCTTGCACGACTGCACAATTTAGAAGAAAAAAAAGGCTACATAATGCTGGTAAGCACGTAGATGCCGCAGAAATGCGTATGTATGAGTGGTTGTATACATGATGCGGGTCTGACAAAACAACAAAGTAAGATAACCGCTATTGCTACAATAAAAGACATTGTTAGACCTCTCACCTAACAGTTGAGGATCACCTTACTTTGGTCTCTTAAGAACTTTCTATATATAAGTAGGACTGAAAAGGACAAGTTGGAGTAAAAAGGAAGAGCTAGAGTACAAAACTAAGCAGCAAACTGAGACCCCATCTAAAACTATAAGTCATACTGTACATATTGCACAGATGCACGTAATGAGATATTTCATTTGTCATAATAGGCACTACTTGGTTCTTCCTGGCCTCATCTAACTTGTGCCCTGTATCACCAGCTTGTGACTATCAAGCAATGAAGCATGACCACCTAGAAACTGCAATTAAAACAATCCGGACGACTGATTGCCTTCAATGGCACCAGGAGAAACATAATAACTATCATTAAAGAAGTGTACGTTCTGCTTTTACAATAAAATGTTTTACAATATTTTTCACCCTGCAACAAAATGAATAGTTAAGCAACTCGATAATGAAACAGAGACATTAAATAAGCCTCTATGCTCATACTAAAGTTCTTTCATGAATTAAAAAAGAACCAACTCAAACAGGCACGGTCAAAATCTCTGAAACGATAGCAACTTACTATAAGGAAGTGACGTCTAAGTCAGATGAAATTTCAGGAGAGATGTCCAGATGATATTGTGTCCCTAGTCAAACAGAGGGCAAGGCATTGGAAATTCTACAGCTGAAAAATATTCATAATGGTACAGAATTTTAACTCATAGAGGTAGTTACCTACCAAAATTTTCACAAAGTGCACTGTTCTCATTTTTCCCCCACTAATCAACAAAGCACATTTTTACTTCCTCATTGTTCTCCCAGTAATCACAATTCACATCTACGCACAGTTCTGCCATGAAAGATTTGTTATTCCACAAGTTTCACGACTTACTGACTCCCAAGACTTACTGACTCACACATTTACTCCTACTCCTACTACCAATGAGTATTGTTCACTCTTTCCACATGAATAATATACTTCTACATGATTAAAGAACATTTATTTTCCTTCAGAAAATTCCCATCACCATTTTTTAGTAGAAACAAAGAAAAAAAAAACCCTAAAAAAAATATATGCAATTTCGGTAGACAAGTAAAAGTATATCAGCTACTGCATGTGTGTTTACATCAACGAAGCTTCCAAGGCAAAAGTCTTAAGGGAAGTCATATGGACAATGTAAAGCATAAACACGAGATAGACTATACCACTAACAGTCACTTAAATCCTAGAGATAATATATGGAATTCTTCAATCCATATCATAGCTGCAAACCACTAGTTGAATTTAACTAGTATTGTTTACTTGGGACCTCAAGTTATTTGTCAAGTAAAGGAAAAAACACAGAAGTATATAAAATTGTCAAGGGAAGGCCACCAAGAAATATTCCAGAGACAACATTGTTCCCATCTTCATTACACCCTCCTTTTGTACATGATTCACAGATTCAGTTATAGCGTCTCATAAAAGAACTAAGAACACATGGAAATAAGCAATACCTAGGCCGAAACTATAAGTTACCCCAACAACATGACAAGATTGATTATAGGAGCTGCTGAGAAGAGAAGATAAAACACACAACAAATAGTAGTAAATGAGCTCATACATTGCATAACAACTTCAAGAGAAACCTCTACGCAGCTTGATAATTGAGTTGTACATTTTCCTTCGAGATCCAACTGCATTGATCCCCATATCCTTGAGATCGTCCAGAGTTAGCAGGGGCAGAACCTCATCATCAACCTCGTGTATCTCAAAGACAGGAGAATACCTCCCCAACCCTAACCCAGCCAGCCATTCCCTCACTCCCACGTTCATCTTCTCCTGTGAACTAACCTCATTCTGACGCATTCCATTACTTTCTGATCGATTTCTTCTCCTGGGCTGATCCCAAAATTGCAAACCGGCGGAGTTAACTGGAGTTTGTTGTTCATTCAGAGAAGGACTCTCAGTGCCTTCGGGCTCGAATTCTCCAAGATCTTCATTAGTATCCTCATTATAATCTTCAAAAGCTTCAACACTCTCATTGATTCCTCCTTCTCCACCACCACCTCCATTACTAGTGGCAGCGGCAGCGGTCTCAGGTTTATTCCAATTGGTGCGAGCTTTTCTCGCAGACTTCTTATTTTTAGTCTTGCGGTGACTGAAATCGGCGAAATTCTCGGGGGGTTCATTCGAATCTCCGAACCTGGAGTCGATGCCGTTGACGAGGTTGGTGAGGGGGCGAGTTTTGGATGTTTTGGCAGCCAGAGATGGGTTCTTGTGGAAGCTCCAATTCTTGTTAGGGCGGCGATTTTGATGCTCGTAATGAGAATCGCCGCCGATCTCTCCCAGTCGGACGCTGGGTCGCCGTTGTCGTTTTGGGGGGTTGCTATGAGCTGTCGGGGCGGCGGCGGCGTGGTCGAGTTGTGGAGGGTCTGAAGATGGAAGGATGGTGGATGGTTGGACGGTTGAGATTAGGGTGTCCGATGGATGAAGTTCTGCTGCCATGTGTTGGGCTCAGTCTGCGTGACCGTGAGATGCGGAAAATAAGAGAGAAGATATGGTGCGGATAAAAAGACTCCCATACGGCTACTATACCAACTTATAGTCATTAGGGTCGTTTACTTTGAGAGATTGGATTACACAAAATAATCCTAATACCTTTACACGACAGCTATCTGATCCCTTGTTTACTTGTGTAACAGATTTGTTTGAAAATAATCTATTGTTTACTTTGTGGGAATAATTGATAGGTTAAGTCTTGCAATGACATCTTTATCCTGGAGCCTATTGAAACGGCACAGATTGAGACGAGCTTCCATTTGCATTTGCGGGATTTGCTTTCATTCTGTTCGAACCCTAAAAGCGAGGTGACAATTCGACGGTCTGGCCGTGTGGGATTCTGGCAATTCGACGACACATCTGTCATTCCGGCGACAATTATGTCTGAGCGTGTGGGATTCCGACAATTCACAAGGCGTGCGGTTGTGATGTAAATCCCTTTTTTTATGTATTCATCGACCTTTTGATTGCCTCTTTCTCCACGGCGTGTGGGATTTCGACAATTCACACGGCTACTGCGATTATTTTCCCTCTTCCCAACATTGCTCTAATTTTGATTACCTTCTGCCAAAACACGCAATTAGGGTTTTCATTCTCCTCACTACCGACAGGCGAGAAAAGGGATCCGCCGTGTACTCCATCCACCACCACCAAGAACGGTCTGTCAATCGTGAGTTTCTTCATATATGTGCACCCCAGTTTTTGTGAATAAGCCGGCTGTTGAGTTTTTAAAACTTAAGAACAAAATGGTGCTATTTTGATTTTTTTGCCTTGTTAAGTGTCTTTTTCATATTACTGTTCAGTTGAGTTTTCCTTTAGCCTTGTGTTGTCTTGTGTATAGCTGAGCCTTGTGTTACTTTCGTGCTGAAATAGAGATTCATTTCATGTTGATATTGAGCTTAATTTTTTAGTTTCGAAGAGTTCATACAATAGATTAAGTTTTACCATGTTTGAAGACAAAAAAAAAAAAAAA